TAGGGACAGTTTTATTGCTGTAAAATCTGCTTATGTACATGTGAGTTAAAATAGAACTATATGCCTTGCAGATCATTTTGTGTATGAAACTACATTGTTTTTTAAAGTACGTTTTTTTAAAATTTAAGTTCTTTATTTTTGAAAGTATTACATATCTCTCCTTTTTCCTCCATTGACGTCTCCTGCCCCTTAGCACATGCCTTCGCCCCCCCTACTGTCTGTGTCCATTGGTTATGCTTATATGCATGCATACAAGTCCTTTGGTTGATTTCTTACTCCTCCTCCTCCTCCCCCTTCCCCTGAGGTTTGATGATCTATTAGATGCTTCTATGTCTCTGGATCTATTTTTGTTCATCAGATTATGTTGTTCATCATATCCCACAAATGAGTGAGATCATGTGATATTTATCTTTCTTCCACTGGCTTATTTCGTTTAGCATAATGTTCTCCAGGTCCCTCCATGCTGTTGCAAATGGTAAGAATTCCTTCTTTATACAGTAGCATAGTATTCCATTGTGTAGCTGGACAACAGGTTTTTAATCCACTCATCTACTGATGAGTACTTAGGCTGTTTCCAAATCTTAGCTATTGTAAATTTTGCAGCAATGAACCTAGGGGTGCATATATCCTTTCTGATTGGTGTTTCTAAAATTTACATATTTAATTCATGAATTAGTTATATCACTGATACACTTTCATAGTGAATGAGAGTCAGCATTTCTCTCTGCATATGAATATATATAAATAGGCCCAAATCTGGGCATATCTCTTGCTTTCTGTTCAGAGCCGTCCCTCTATTCTTTTCTGTTAAAATTATAAGTGGGAATAGTGAACATCACCATAAAATACTTATATTATATTCCTAGGTCCTGGTGGCTTTGCAGAATGCTATGAATTTCTTGGTTATACTTCAAAAATATGGATTATTTGGTTCACTTCAATTTCTGGGGTGACATCAAACTGGTGACTCCCCACTCTATCTCCTGGGAAGAATAGTCATGGAATGACCAGAAACAAAGATGTTCAGGCTATTTTCTACATTTTATCTTCTCAATTAGCATTGATGTAATACATATATCGAAGTTGCTTTATACATACATTATTTTTCTGTAATCCACACATGTAACTTTGCTTTTACCCTGCCTGATCTGTTCAATTTAAAGATGTCAACGTATTTATGGCTCTTTTGGCTGACTGTGGGTACTTTGCTCTGTGCTTTGTTATCTATACTAATAAAAGAGAAAAATGGTAATTGGAGT